TGGGATGGGATGGGGCAGCCCCCCCAGTCCTGGTGTCCCCTTGTCCCACACGGGGACATGAGACCCCAGCCGGGAGCGTGTCGTGTCCCCCCTGGGGCTCAGGCTGTGCCCTACCTGCGAGCTGAAGGGTCCCATTTCAGAGATGAGGTCCCTGGGTTCTGCAAGGTGAGGGGGGAAACGTGAGGCTTGGGGGGGGACCCTGGGCTGAGCCCCCAGCCCCGGGGCCACGTGGCCCCCCCCTACCTGTCCAGGGGGTGCCCACCGCCTCCTGGCTCCACCCGCTCCATGCACCGTGGCCAAACTCCTCCTGCGCCCGCACCTGCACCACGTGCCGCGTCCCCCGCCAGGCGTCACGGATGTCCAGCCATGTCGTCATCACCTGGTCCACCTGGAGGGGACACGGGCAGCGTGGGGTTGGGGACACGGGCAGCGTGAGGTTGGGGACAGCCTCGCCGGGGCTGGGGGACAGCCCCTACGCCGGGGATGGGGTCTCACCTGCGTGAAGGTCTGGGTGGGCTCGGGGCGGTAGCGGACCTGGAAGCGGAGCCAGTAGAAGCGGGGGTCCCAGGTCGAGGGGTAGGACCAGTTGACCCGCAGCCGCTGCGGCGCCTTCTCCAGCGCCTCCACCGTCACATTGAGGGGGGGGGCTGGCTTCACTGCCAGGGAAGAGGGGGCGGCCGGGGCTGGCTGCGCCGCTCGGCCTGCCCTGGCCCCCAGCGAGAGGGGAGCAGCACTTACAGACGCTGCTGAGGGTGATGATCCTGTCCTCGCCGGCCGAGCCGCCGGCACCGTTGTTGACGCACGTGGACACCACGAGGGGTTTGGTGTCATCGGCGCCGGGTGGCACCTTCACCCGGCAAACAAACTTCTGTGCCTTGGAGAAGTAGCGGCACCGCTGCTCCGTGGCGTTCTCAGCCACGAACCTGCAGGGACGCGGCTCGGCTGGGGCTTTGGCACACGGCGGGCACGGGGCAGGGTCGGTGGGGAGGGACAGTGAAGCCCCCTGCGTCCTGTGCCGCGGACCCCCGGCCCCAGGCAGGTACCGGGACGGCGCTCACCTCCGCTTCACCCAGAGCATCGCCCGCGTCCCCGGGGATGGCTTCGCCCGCAGCGGCCACTCGCACAG